AGCATCTTGTCGTCTCGTGGAATGCATCGCATCCACTCCTCAATCTTATCGCTAGGAGCACGGAAGAAATGTCTCTTCTCGTTCGATGACTTATATCCTGCCTTGCATCCTGGCACAAAGCACGTTGGCATTTTTATGGAGCTAAAAAAACAATTATTATAGGTCAAAATCACTGACTTCAGTATATACCTAGCAAGAACAACGATCTCCTGCTAACAGTGGCGCCGACTAGCGGCAAATATTGTCTCTAGCTAAGTTTGAACTATTAGTCGAAAGACCAGTTAATCTACCGACTCTGCTTATACTAACAAGCAGGGATGAAGAGTCGGAATCGGGAAACGATCTTAAAAAATACGGATTCGGAAATCAGGAGTCAGGAGTCGTGTATTTTTTCGCCAACTACCTATCCCTGCTAATAAGTGCTAGAGCTTTTTTAGTCATCCATTATGAGCTTGGCCAGACCGGATGGTGAAGAATAGAACATGAAATATCCTGCACACACCACTCCCAAAAATTTATTGGGGAGTTACTCGCCCGGATTTCTATCAGAATGGCAGGCTGACGCCTTAAACTAGATTTACATTGTCATAGGAACCATACGAACAAACGAAACGAACGATAACGGAAACGAAATATTGTCCGTATCGTACTACATGACACAAACTGATTAAAAAGGTTAGGACGTGATTGATTAAAAAGGTTTCGAAACGGTTGACTGGTCGAACGAACCGACGTTCGGTAAAAGTTGAGATATTCTCAACTAACTCGATGAAACTCGACGAAAGGGACTAACAGGCAGTTTGTATCCATTTCTTAGCGGTGCTTTTGCCAATATGAACTTAGCAATTAGTGGCGTAGCTACATATTCAGCGGCCTGGAGCAAATGCGCCTCTTGTTCCTCGGAAGAGGTCTCGCGGAATTTATTTTGAACATTTAATTTAAAAACGTATATCCAATTATTTCGAATTAAAACCTTACTTAATAACAATTTATTTGAGATTCAAGTCATTTCAACAATAAGATATTCAATTTAAATAACACAAATATAATAATAAAAGAAAATAGAATTCTTTAAGTACCGAGTACCTAATAATAATTACTACACATTGTATAAACTGTATAAACAAAATGTATGCAAGTTTAGTTTCATAACAAATACATAATAGCGAGATTGCGGCAAAAATTTCAACGCGAAAACGTGTACGTTGGAAGTTCAGCGCCTGTAAGCTAGAAGTTTGACAATGGCGTTTGGAACGTCGAGCATGATTCCAATGACGTTCCAAACGCCATTGTCAAACTTCTAGGCTTACAGGAAAGAGGCGCTGAACGTCCGACCTACAGGTTTTCGCTTTCCGGAATATTTTTATCAGATGAGGCAAACAAGATATGCTGATGATAAGCACTTAAATAGTGTACATAATTGTCGAACGGATTCAAATCTAATTGTTAATTGATTAATTATTAAATCCAAAAAAAATTTTTTTACAAATGTTTTTACAAGTTTTTATTTCGCCATTTCTAACTTGGCGCCCTCATGATTCGTGCGCCTGGAGAGGTTCGTTCCAATTGCTTCTCGGTGGCTACGCCTCTGGGCCGAATCTTCCAATGATATTTTAAGTGATGTCGTGACTCCTGAAAAATTTAAGGGGATTTTTTGGTTCCTCCGATTTAAATCCCGAGTCTTAGAGCAGAAAGGTGATGCCTTAACTGCCCCCGCCGTCCAGCCCGCAACACTTGTCTACGTGTAACATCGGAATGTTGAGTAAATTCTTATAAATAGCAATTATTTAAAAACTATGACTGGCAACATTAATTGTGTTAATTCTTAAAATATGCTTTACTGTCAGTCATAATTATATGCTTTTGAAATATTTATACTTCATTAGAAATCATATAATGATATTTATTAAGTATTTTATTGCAACTGTGTACTTTGATATTTTAAAATAAACATGGTATTAAATCAAGTTAAAATGTTAAATATCTTAAAAATAATTTTCTACAATAATAATGTTTTTAAGAATAATGACGTTATTTTAAAAAATGTAAGCGTTCTGTAGCATACTAACTTCGGATGACAGTTGAGGTCATATTTTGAATGTTTAAATTTTAAAATTACCCCTGTGACGTTAAGAGTTTTTTTTAAATTTTATTTTGCAGGTTTATTATTGGGTTAGGCCTGGAGCACAATGGAGTAGCCAGGTAATGAGGTACGAAGCATGTTGGGAAAAACTGCTCATGAAAAATTGCTGAAGTTTCTACTCCGGACTCGACCCCTCTTTAAGTTCTCAGACATCAGGCAAATAGTTAGAATTTAATTCATCGGTTTAATTCAGGTCGTTCGAAGTCCGAATCAATTTTCCCATCACAAATAATAGAAAGTTAATTAATCTATTCCCAGACCCTGAACAATACCCATTTCGATCAACTTAAAACAGCAAATATAAATAATTTAAGGTAAAAGTAATACAGATGCCCTAATAATAAATTGAAACACGAAAACCATAATTAAAATTCGTAAATACCGTATAATGAAATGAAAATTGCATGTAATGGTAGCACATCGTAATCTTCCCCATCTTAATATAGATGTGTCATTTAATTATAATAGTTGTGAAATTTAACATATTATAGATAGTGTGAGATTTTATTTCTTCTTACGTAGGCCCATTTTTGGAAACACATGGTTAAAGTAAGCTTCAAAGCGTACTTTAATCCAGTGTTTCCAAAAAATGGGCCCGCGTAAGAAGTATTACGTTTAATGATTTTCACATGTGGAGATGTGGAGAACAATATTCACTTTGCACAAGCGAATATTGTTCTCCAAGACATATATTTAAATATTGTTCTATAAGACATTTTTTTTCGATCACCCACATATTCTAAAATGTCATAAAGTATAATCATCATGACTTAACCTCTTCACATTTTGTTTGAATAAAATCAAGTTGTAATGTCTTCGGATAAAAAGCATATCGTCCTCATATTTTTCATAAAAGTTTAAAAATATAAAAGTCTGTACAGTACGATAGAGCGTTGAATATCCGAAATAATTGAGGGGAGACTGTTTCGGATAACCGAAATGGGAAGAGGTGGATGGATCCGGATTACTGTTTATTACAGAGAAGAAAGAAAAGGGCAGAGGCATTTGGTGGGCGCTATTAACTCGTCTTGGCTGTTGATGACTTTTGCTTCGACTTTACTTATTTATTAATATACTAGAGTTTTTACTTTTGAACCGTGAGTTTTATTGTATTCAATTATCATCTTGGAAAATCCGAAATTCTTTACTTCGGAAATTCAGTATGTTATTTCAACGAATTGGTAAGCAGTAGTCCTTTATTACAATGGAGGCCTAATATACGTATTGATGAAAGTTCGAGTTCAAAGTAAAAAATGCATAATAGTAAAACTAATATCAAATAAAGTATAATACTCAGGCTAAAATGATTTATTAGTCTTTTTTGACGAAGTCATTTAATTTTCTTTGTTTTACACATTTTTAAAAATATTTAACGTTGCTAAATTTCTGGTTTATTTGATCGTCATAAAAGTTGAAAAACTTGCTTCGTTTCTAATTACAACATGTCAACACTGTTTGTGATGCATTAAATGCATTAATGTGTGAAGATACTGTACATTAAAGCATTTGATGCATTAAAAGCCTCTGACTCATTAGTTACGCTTTTAATATTTTCCGGCTATAATATATAACAGAGGAAAAGTATGAAGATCCGTAAAAGAATGATCCTCAAGATTTTTACATTTTTCAGCAGAGGGGACGTTGAAATGTCGAAAAATGCAAAAAGAATTTCGAGATTTTTTCCGTATGTATGGGGGAACACAATTTTATTCACGCAATTTGAAGCTTAATAATAACTCCTGTTCCTTTTGTCAAAAATTTCTGAAATATTGCAGGGAGATTTGTGTATTAGGAACATTGATGCTATTGAATTTTGGTGAATAAAAGTAGAGTGGTGAGGCGATAAAGGGGGTCGTGTGTATCTGCAGTACGGTCTGATTTAATGACGATTTTACTTGCTCTTAGCATTTACAATGTTTTTTTAAAAGTCATTCCTACCCTACCTTTTTGCTATTTTAATAATAATTATTAATTCAATTTTAAATATTGTCGGGAAAGTTACGCAATTCGTTGTCAAAGTTTTTTGTATTGTAATAGATAAAACCTAATAATATTTGATAACAATATTGTACAACTCCTACAGTACTGTACATCAGGTACAATAAGTATTACGTAAAGTCTTAAATTTCCAAAATATTAATGCTTCAGTAATCACGTAACAATAGAATAATAGCATTTCTTATATAAAGAAGTGATAATTTTCACAAAACATTCGTTTTTTAATGAATTATCAATTAATCACTACACCATTATATAAATAGTAAATAAAATACAATAAATTTCTGATAATTTACAGATAATGTATCAAAGTAATTACTGACTAACAATATAATTTTTTTTCTACAAATGTCTGAATATTATTTCAGAAATATTCATGAAGCACAAAAATAAAATAAATTATTTATATAACATTACTAATTTACACAAATACTTTTATATGAATAAATAATTATAATTAATTTTCACACAGATTTTAAATATTATTCAAACTGTGTTTTTTTATTAAAAATGTGAAGATAATTTGCTATTTAATCTTCCACTTATATCTGTACAGTTATTAAAATTAGTGTCAATTAAGGTAGCTCTGCTTATGTTAAGAGAATCTATAACATCAAACATTTTATTCAAATATTCTGGTTTCAAAAGTATTTGACGTGAAAGAATCCATAAGTTCTCTAAAAAATAAGCGTATTTTTAAATGTAAAATATTTTAAGATTTAATATATAGGTCTACTTACTTACCTGTGTGACCAAGAGTTCCAGCTAATAATGGCGATTCATAACAACTCCATACTGCTGCATAATCTTCGTAATTTGTATCTATAATTTTATATATCGATCTGAAACGAACTATATAATAAAAAAACCTCTATTAACTATTATCGAAAAACTAGTTATTTATTTATTTTAGTATAAAAATTTAAGATATTTTTTGAGGGGATGAAGATGTATGAAAAATTTATTACTTAAGTTTAACTGTGAAAAATGCTTGAATAAAAGATTATACAAATTTTTAAATTAGTATGAAGATATTTTAACAATTAATATAAAAGATGGACCCAAATTTTACGCTAATAATGTTATAATAATAAAAGCAGTAACCAGATCCGACGTTAAGGGGGTCCAAGTTAATATTAACATGAATCACTACACACTTTAATACTTTTATAATGGATTATAAGAAATTTATATAAATTACTAAGTCAATAGTTAACTCCACAATTAAATTACTTTTCCTATATTTAGCATTTTTATTACCTTTTTCATTACGAAGGGAGGTGCCCGGAACCCTTAGCACCTCCCTGGTTACGTCAGTGTTTTTTTATCTATTTATAACAATTTATTTTTATTTGTAGAAAATTACAGAAAGTTCCAACATAATTTTATGAAAACATTTTTAGATACGTTTACATGAAATTAATTACAATCGGTTTAAATCTCAAATATATTTAAATTATTACAAATTTTTAAGCTAATTATTTAGCTAAGTAATAACTTCATAATATATTTTAATAGAAAAATAAGGATTTAAATGATAATTTTTAAAAACTTCTTAGACTTACGTGCTCCTAGTGTAAGCTCCATATTTGCTGGAGATATAGAATTGACAGTACGTAATTTACCTTGCATTATAATAAAATGCCGATTTCTATATAATTATAAAATGTACTTTCAATATTTTACAATATAATACAATTAAATTATGTTTTGTATATATATAAATTTACATAATATTAACTCCTGTTCTTCTAAATAATGCATTCCCATTTTCGACATTGGTAATAATTGTTGCAGAACATTTTAATCCCGTTTCGAATAATGTAAATGTTCTTTTTATTTCATACCAAACTCCCTGAAACTGAAGTAAATAATTTAATTTACACAATAAAATATTAATATTTACTAAACAATTTATTAATTCTTTTTTAAGAATTACAAATTGTATGACAAAATAAAGAATATTTAATAGTAAAAATAACTATACCTGAGTGAGGTTGAAGTTAGTTACAGTCTTAGGTTTAGGACAATGATGAGGATAAAGTGTTAAAAAAATCGCTGTTCGAAACAATATTAATATATAAAATATACTAAACTTATACATTTAAATTTCAAAGAAATTTACTAAAGTATTTATATATACAGTAAGTTAATGTGACTGCTGATTCTATACCTTTCTATCAAAGAAAACATCATTCGTTACTATTAATATAGCCTACGTAGAAACGTTACCTAATGAAATAAATAAATAAATAACCTTCGTTTTGCACTTGACAACACTTGTATTATCAATTGTAACTGTTGTCAAGTTGTCAGTTGTTCCAAAATATGATTTAAATGATGCAAATATTTTTTGAGGTCGTTAACCCGGATCTTCTAATTCATAAAATTAGTACAATAATTTATAGAGTATGAGTATTTATATTATTTTTTAAAATTTCTTTTGTATATATTATATTATTAGTGTATTGTAAAGTACATATGCCTTAATTTTTCCATATAATTAGAATAAAAACAATTCTTATGTCGTATTTTTTACAAAATGCGGCTCATCAAACTCATAGAAACCATAATAGATGTTAATTACTTATAATTGATTTTTTAAAGCAAAAAATTAATTTATATTTCTTGATTATTTACTATTCAGAAGTAAAAATGTATTGTTGATTGAATTATAACATTTTCTCTATTTAATTACTATTTAAAAATGCATAAGGAGTTCTGAAAATGTTTAAATTTCTTCATTTTTTCCTATAGAAAATTATATAAATATTACTTATTTTTAAAAAATTATATTTTAGGAAGGATCAATATATATATAACTGTTTATATTTAATAAACAATAAAATTATTCATATAAATTAAATTCTTAAGCTTATGATTTATTCAAATCATTAATTTTTACTTTCCCTGCTCTGTTATAAAACAAAGGAAAGGTATGGCGATCGAACTAAAATGTCCCCCTAGACTTTTACTTTTTATACACTCAGAACTACTTGAAACATCGAGAAATACAAAAAAAAATTCAGGTTTTTTTCCCCCTGTATCTGTGAATGTTGTTGTGTATGTGCGGGGCACGTATTTTGTTCACCCTCTTAGAAGCTTAATAACTCCTGTGTTTTTTGTCGACTATAACTGAAATTCTGTAGGGAGGTTTGTGTATTAGGATGATTGATGCTATTAAATTTTGGAGGTCAAAGGTCGACGAGGTGGAGAGATAGAGAGGGTCATGTCATATCTCGAGTAGGGTCGGATTTAATAACGATTTTATTCGATTAATTAGTCAGAAATTCAAAGCAATTTTTAAAGATAATTTTATTCGAGAAGAGAATTTCATAAGTTTTAGTAAGTTTTCTATAAAGCTAATATATAAATACTTCAATTTCCGATGAACTAGACCTAAATTATGAAATTAAATTTACAAAAATAACTTATTTTCAACCATTTTAAAAATTCAAATAATATATCTATTTACGATATATTGAATATTAAACTTAAAAAAATTATAAATTTTATGAAAGGTTCGTTTGTGACTCTTGTTATAGTCTAAATAAATCTCAGAAATTCATGGGTGGTACGCCGACATACACACGTGTCGATTTATATATAAAGCATCAACATCTTCAACAAAATATTATTATTCCAGAAAAATTGACAGAAGCTTTGGATAAAACAGGTAAATTTTTTAAACATTTTCTTTGTTTTTTTTTAAATATAAAATAAAATAATCCTTTATGATTATTTCATTATATATTTTAGAATTTTTTAAAGAAAATTATAAATCTTTCTCTCTAAACGAGTTCCTGTTTAAAAAGTAAAATATAAACAAATCTATTTAAATGTGTATAATATTTTTATTGATAAATTTAATAAAAGTAATAAAAAAATAAAGCTATTTAATTTGTAAATTTTTTTATTATTATTTTAAATTGAAATTTATTGTAGAAATGGCACATCTTCTAAAACGCCAAGTATTTTTGATGATTCTTTTTGTTGTGTTTGCAACGATTCAATCCCAAATATTCAGCAAAAGAAAATTCGAACGATTAGGATGCACTGGAAAATATAATAAACCGATGTTTGCAAGACTTTCAAGACATTGTCAAGAGTGTTATCAATTATACAAAGACATCGATGTGGAAATTATTTGCAGGTATTTCTCGCTAAATATTACAATTTCGTTTACCTTATTTTAAAAATTTAAGAATTATATAATTTGTTTTTTTAATATAAATATTATATCTTGTATATATATATATTTTTTTTTTCAGGTCAAATTGTTTTAATAACGATTACTTTAATAGATGTATGGATGCGTTGATGTTAAAATCTGATGAACGAGACGAATTGAAAGAAATGGTTAAGACTCTTAATGGTTATGATATAAACTTTAATGTAATATTTTAAAATTATCAAATGTTGTGCTTGGATTATCCATCTACTAAATGATACATTTTAAGAATTTATACGAGTTCTTTCTCTAGGATAACTTTCTGTAGCAAAATTATAAATTTTATGAAATAAAAAATCATTCATGACTGCTTTAGATTATTTTATGTAAAATTTACAAGAGATAAAAATAATTTTTTCATTTATTCGAGCAAATAAATTTTTTTTTAATGTTTCTAAAATTATATTTAGTTTTAAATGGTTTATTGTCACAATTCACGATTTGGAATTAAATTAGTAGCAGCGAGTTGTGTTACGTTTAAAAACACGTTTAAAATTTAAATTTTAATTAAAATTTAAGCTTCAGGTAAATCTAGATTTATTTATCCACATTGTTGGAAGAACAGAAGTTAGAATTTAATTAAAAAGTTGTTAGTTAAAAATTGTCTTTAAAAAATGTTATATTAAATCCTTATATAAAAAATTTTAATAAGAAATTAAATTATTGTAAACATCTACACAAGATTTTACATAAATTGTTTAATAAAACAATCAATAATTAAAGTATTTAATTCCAAAATAGTTATTGAATATCCAAATAAAGAAAATTTAAGAATATTTAGACAATAATTTAATTCGTAACGAGCAATTATTTATTGCGACATCGTCACAATGCCGGGTTACATGTTTTAATCCTATGTTTTTAAATTTATTTAATTTAAAATAGGCTTATATGATCTCCACCTCAAATTAGTATTGTCTTGCCCCTGTACATCATACTTTTCCTTCTAGCAATAAAGTGGTGCCGATAAAAACTCCATTCAGGGAAAAAGTTTGAATTGAAATAACGTTAGTTAAACGACGCCTCCTGCCCTTAATCTTTCCATATTTTCATTTGTATTTGTGTTTAGATAAATATTCTAACGAATTTTTTAATTTATTACAAATTATTTCACAAAATGTAAAAAATCCAGCAACGAGTTGCATAACCTTCCCGGAAAAAAAATTAAAATTATAGTAGCACCATCTGTTATCATATTTTATTAAGAAACTTTTTATATTATTAATTATTATAAAATGAAAAAAAGTTTAATTCTTAGGGCAGAAATAATTTTTATAAAAATGAGTAAAATATTCATTTAAATCCGACCCTACTCGAGATATGACACAAGACCCCTTCTATCTCCCCGCTCCTTTAACTACCAAAATTTAATAATATCAATGCCTCTAATAGACAAACGTCCCTGCAAAATTTCAGAAATTTTCGACAAAAATCACAGGAGTTATTAAGCTTCAAAAATAAAAATAACGGACGTTTAAAAATGGAAAAAAAAAATATTAAAAACATAAATTATAAGCTCATTAAATAAATTTCGAAAATTGCATTTTGTCTTTTTAATTTTAATTTCAATCAGAATTAAAATCCCAGATAAGTTCTAAAATAATTAAATATTTATACAGGTGTATATAGAAACAAATGCTGTTAAAAATAAATCTATAGTAAAGCTACGATAGTATATTTGTTTGTATTGTACATAAATATAAATCTCTACATCCAATATTTTTTTTCAATTTCAAATTTATTCCAAAATCAGTGTTTAAATTATTTATAAAAGATTAAATTTCTTATTATATCTTCGTATTGTTTATATAGATTTTAATGAATTGAACTCAACATTTTATATTTCCTGCACGAGGATATACTTCAGTTTTCAAGGTTTATTTATTCATTTCCTGTGTTTTAGAGAGTTCAAATAACCAATCATATAATATTTTAATGTGACGTAATTATAACATATTCTTTATGTTACATATAAGTGTTATATTGCATTGCTGTTTAGTAATTTACAGTTAGTCAGAACAAAATATATTAAAAAATTAATGAATTAAAATGAAGCATATAGTAATATATGCTATTATCTTTATTTTAATAATTTTAGGTAAGCGAAATATTAAATATTTATTACTTTATAGATTTAAAATATCTAAATTTTAATATGTAATAAAATTTCTTTTAATTTAAAATTATTTAAATTTGTTTATAAAGTATATTTACAACATAAATTTAAATAATAATGTATTATAATATAATTTTAACTTTTAAATTAATATTTTATTTCATTAACATCTTTAGATTTCATATACTGTCAGGAAATGGTATGCTATAATTATGTTTAAAATATAAAATTTTTAAATATATAATTAAATTTTAATGCTATAATTAACAGGCATTAGGTATTTTTTAAGGCATTGCTTATAAATTTTTAAAATTTCGCATAAATATGACTCTATTTTTTAATATTAATAGTAAAGTTGTAATCCAATATTTCTAGTTAATTTCTTATATTTTAATTTAAATTCTATTGTTAATTAACCTTGTATATTTTTAACTATGTTGCTGAATAATAAATTTGCTTAAAAATAATATAGAATTTTAATTACGAACTTTAAAATATGATTAAATAAGGCTGTATTGTTCGGTTCTAATCCAGGAATTCGTTTCCTCGTTTCTTGCAGTATTTTTCTGAAAAATGTATTAAAAATTTTATTAGAAAGCACTAAAATTAGTTTTTTTTTAATATACAGGCTTAGTCAAAAGTCTTTTTGCACCCTTTTCATTCCAAATGTATTAAAGATATATTAATTTTGTTAATGTATTTACATAGAAAATTGTATAGAACCTTTTTGTTAACCTTAAAAATCATTTAATGTCACTTAAAACTATCAATAAATCACTTTTACTCCTCATGAATTTAAGCTTCAATTTTTAAATTAAAAAGTCATATTTTGAAATCTGTGTCCACATTTTAGGAGCATAATAATTATATTTAGGACCTTCCAATTGGTACTGTACATCAAGTAAAATTTACGAATCGATTTTTTAACGTTTTCTATAAGTTATCAAATATTCATCTGATATTAAAAATATAAAATTTTAAACATTTCATAATTAATTTTAATTTAATTTTGTTGACTTTTTTTGCATTATCCGTATTTAAATTTTAGGATGATCCCGATTATTATGCTTATCCTGATGATCCACCTGTTGATCCGCCAACAACTACGGTAAGTAATTTTTATTATATAATAATTATAAATTAAATAAACTAAAATAGGATAAATAAACTCGTATACTCTGTCTCATTCTGTGTAAGTTATTCTTTAATATTAATTATTTACTGTCTTCGTTTATAATGCCTGAAAAACGAAAAGTCTTCTTTAATATACAGTGGACCACGTTTCTTACGGCACAGGAAAATGGTGTTTAACCGAAATTTAAGTCTAAATTCGGCACAGTATGGCCGAACTAATAGGTTTAATGTAGTGAAGTGACCTTGTATAGTAGAAAGTTGGCATTCTCTATTCTCTTTTGGTTATTGAACCACATGGAGGACATGTTTCTTTGGAAATTCTCTACCTCTGATACATGATAGTAGCTGTTCAAAAACTTGCACAATTCTTTTCACGAAAAATAAAACAATAAAGTCACATTGTGTAGCATTTGAATGCACGAATTCATTGGAGTAAGGGATGTCAATGAAAGTATTTCCGTGGAACCAGAAAAGGGTTGGATAACAAATCATTTTTCCCTTGATTAACTGAAAGAGCTTGTCTCTGGTAAATTGAAAGAAAAGTCTTTCAAGTTAACAGAAACAATTGACAACCAACTAGCAATTTATATTTGTGTGAACTTGTATATTTATATTTATGGGACCTTAATCATCATCTTAATTAACATAGGCTATTAATTAGAATATGTTTTTATCATAATTTGAAGTGACTTGTAAAAGAATAGTATCACAAACGCTAGATATACAAAATTTTGCTTTTATTTCTTCAAAATTATATGAGAAAAATGTAAACTATATCACAAAGAATTAAAAACATATCACAGAGACGTTTATTACATAACTAAAAATTGCCGAAGTTATGCAAAAATAATCAGAGATCTCTTACACTATCCCATAAAAAAACTGGTAAAACTAGGTTGAAAAAAAAGAGATTAGCAGAAATATCTAAATAAAGGAAACTCAAACTTCCTTCGCTGATACCACTACTTAAAGATGTTCTAACGTTCAACCAAATTAATGTAGTGCAACAACTTTAAGGCACAAAGCAAAGATCGAAGCCTTTTTCTGTGATGATGCTTACTTTTCCGATTTATTATCATGATGTAGGCTTTCTGCAAAACTTCCTATAGATGTAGTCTGTGTAATGTGCACTTTATTCAATACAATACAATAAGGAAAGGGAAGAAGGCCGTACTCGTAGGTGTAGCCTTTAAAAGTGGATGAAAGGAAGATACGAAGGGAGAGAATGAGAGAAAGATTTATAGCAGAGGCCAAGAGGGTGAAAATGTTGAAGAGTGGAAAGGGAAGGGGAAATTGTGTGCCGCATGGGGAATTTATTAAAATAGAACAAGTTACAAAATATAAAATTCCGAATACAAAATACATAGATAGGCCTACATATTAATAACTGATGCTAAACATAAGATAGGCGGCAGGTAATGGAATACACCAAAAAGTAATTTGATTACATAATTGTTAATTAGAATACAGAAAAATACATACAGAGGTAGACTTAGACATATACAAGAGATTATGATAAACGTTGTGGATACATTAAAACCAAAACACGATATAACTACTCAGTAAAGAAGGAATATTAGTAGATGGATATAAACAGAATACAAATACAGCGCAAAACAGAAGTTAACAACATTGCAGATAACATGGGAGAACAGTATTAAATAGTAGATACACAAACACCAAACCATTGTGTACAGAGCACCACTTTGAGTTGATAAGGAGAGTGATGGAACCTAATCCAATATTTTAATGTTCTTTGCGAAGTCCCTAAGAGCTTTGAGAGTGTTTTTGTAACTAGTCAGTTCATTAAGCTTGCAAGGCCAATGGAGTCCTGCACTGTATACGATGTCTGCCAGGGTTTTCCTTTGCACTCTGTAAAGAGGACAGTTGAAGAGAATGTGCACAGTATCTTCTTCCTCGTTCAGATTGCATGGGCAGAGTCCGTCCGTTTTATGCAGGAATCTTTTAAGATAGGTCCTGAGGTTCCCATGTCCGGTAACCAACTGGGTGAGTTGAAAGGAGACCATTTGACAGGTGGTGTTATTCCTGTCTGTA